GAGTTCCAGTTGTTGAAGAACGCAGAGTTTTTTGTTGATCCGCAGGAGATAGACGAATTCATAAAGTTGGAAGTTGCTGCAGGAGCGCACAATATAGGAGGGCTTTGAAAACTATAGCTGGGAGTTGGTACAGGAGTACGAAATCTAGGAGAGCTGTGGAAATTGCAGTCAGTTTCATTATGGTAAATTATATTTGGTTTAGTCCCTGGTTGATGGTGATTTTCTAAAAATAGACTTTGAAAAAATTGTTTTTCTGGATACTTGTGGTGATGAAGCAAAGAAAATATCCACATTTTCTTATCATTTTGTTGATTAAATTCTTAAAATCACCGATGGTGAGATATTGTGGCACTAAGATATTAAAATGAGTTTTTCGGAAAAATGGACCTTGAAATTGTGAATTTTGGAGAATGCGTAGTTAATAAGTATGAAAAACATTTATTGTTTACGAGTAAAATATTTTATTGTGAGAACATGCAGTTGAAAATGATAAGGGTAATCCAGCCTTAATCTAGCTTTTTCATGATTTTTAGCAAAACCAAAGAGGGGCATATAATGTCTTATTAGCATTGGCAAGTGTTACGGGCCTGTGTCAGACCCGTCACCTCACCCACCACGTGTCAGTAGAGGTGGTCTACACTACGCCATGCGTCGACCGAGGTGATTGTACATATGATGAGCTGATTGTATATGCTGAAGTGATTATATAAGGAATGAACTGAACACACGTCAGCGAAGGAACCATACTCATCTGCAAGTACACCGTGGACGCAATGGCCCACACTTCGCTTCTGCAATGCTGCAACGCCTCACCTGGCTCGCCTTGCCCATCAAAGATCTCTTGTACAAAAATCTTTCCAAAGTCAAATCCCGACTGATGGGACGTGTGGCAGGACCCAAACAATCAATTCAGTTGCCTTTGTCAGAGACATTCAATGCCAGCCAACCTATGGAAGAACAAATTGACACCTAGGATGGAATGAGGCCAGCGGATCTGATAACATGTTTCTCCTCATTCAATGGCTGTCATCTTTCCATCCTTAGTACAAATATCCCCTCCTTGTGCCAGAAGAAGGATTGGAATCCCACACATTGGAATCACATATATTTGAATCCTACATATTTTCCTACAATACATTGCCAACTTGGGGTATTATCTTCTCCCTTAAGTATTGGCACTTTATCACTACACACTTTATCAACCACTTGAACACTTGCCGGTGAACCTTTTCCGGTTGAACTATAAACTGACTTTATCAACCTTTTCCCAACCCCTCCAGGAAAGGCCACGGGTGACTAACGGCTGCTACGTGTGCAGGGAAGAGCTGACTTGAAAACTTATTCTGTTGGCCATGTGTTGGAGCTATTTTTCGAGGTCAACATATTGACACCGTGTGTGGGAAACTTACTTTAACCACGAGTCTTCCCACCACAAAGTTGCTTGAATATCCGGTTGATATCCCCAATTGAGAAAAGGGATAGGTTCTTGACA